TTATATTTTTTTTTTGGAAATTCATCAGGACTACCAGACTCCTGTCTTGCTCACTGAAGAAGTTAGAGGAGATATGTTGCATCAAGGCAGGATACTGTGGAAGAATATTCTGTCATTATCAGAATAGGAGAGGATGTGTAAAGTGGTGCTGAAAAGCCAATATCCATACTAGATGTACTTCAAGAGTTTTATTTCAGACTAGCGTTAGCCTGGTCCTGTGGACTTGAACTTCCACTAGCTGTTGGAGTGCAGTCAGGTGTTTTTATCAGAGGCAAGTTTTTGTTTCAGGGGTTCTGAAACTGTTGCATTATGATAGCTAAGGCATAGTAAGCAGGAATGATTGAAGAGTAATCATCATAAGCGAATTTTGAGCTGAACAAAAATGCTAATGCAATTTCACCAGTATATACACAAGAGGGATGAATTAAGAGAGCTTGAATTGCAGACATAGCACATGTAATTCTAGGAATGTTCAATTTATGAATCTTTAACATTTCTGAAAGTGAAAAGAAGGTTTTGTAAGAAAGACATTTGAATGATACCTTGGAGAATTGCCGCCTCTTCTTGTCTTCTGCAAGCTCATGTATTTAGTTGAATAATTTTAAACCACAGTGTTCAGAGGTGGTTACCAGTTGTTGCTCCTCATTTCCTAGGCTTTATTTTGACGACTTAAGAGGTGGGTTTTTTGTTTCTGCTTTTTTTTCTCTCTCAAAATGCTAAGCATTCATTACTTTAACTAGAATCACTGAAAACTCAATTTGCTTTTAGAGGGTTCCACATAAAACTGTAATATTTGAAAAATGATGTCTTATGTCTAGTATTTGATACCCCAAAACACATGAATACCCTAAGCTTTAATCTCTGTGAGTCTCCATTCCTCATCTGTGTCCAGACTCAGTTTTGGTTGTTAGTATTGTGATAAATTATTTATATCTGAACTATGCCTGTACTATGGTCATCATCTCCAAAGGATGAATGCCAACATCACCAAAGGATAAACACTAACACCCCAAGGACTAGTGTCGTTCTACGTTTTTCCTTGTTAGTTGAGAGTTTTAGTAAGAGGAAACAGCTTGTCTACTCAGTCAGAATTGCCTGGTGTACATTATTTTAGTTGGTTTTCCATCTATTGGAAACTTATTTCAAACTGAAATTCACGTGAAGTGATAGCATAAAATGGAGACTTTACTGGTTTTTTTTAGAAGGAAAAATAGCATCTTCTTTGTCATCTCACTGTCATGTGAACTAACAGAGTAGGTAACAGTTATAGGAAGGTGCCGTTGCAAGCAAGTATTTGGGAGGGGAGGAGGGTTTCACAAATATCTTATGGTGCATAAAGGAAGCCTGAAAAGTCCTGTTTCCAGTACTGGAGAAGAGTTTACCATTAAAGATGCAGTTGTGTCCCTGTCCTTTGTTTTGTCCTGGTTACCTAAATTGGTTTCCCTTCCGTTGACTGGAGTCCTGTCCTCTAGGCTTTTCATCCATGTTTCCATTTTCTGCTCAGCTGGGGTTTTTTTGTGTGGTGTTTTTTTTTTTTGTGTGTTCAAATCTACTATTGCTACAATTAGCATCCTGTTACTTTTCTGTCTTGTGGTCTGTTTTCTTTCTTCTTTTCTTAGATGAGGTTTGCATGTTCCTCCATGTTAACCTGAAACCCAGAACTGGGAGGTAAAGGAGATGGGACACAGAGCACCCGGATTCAAGGATTAGAGTGTCCCTTTGAAAGCCTTTAGGCCATTGCATACGCTTTTGTTTGTGCAGTATTAAACAGTCATAATGAGAGGCTGAGCTTTGCTCCGGGCTAGTGGCATCTTTCCCATTTTACCAGATTTGTAACGATAACGTGAGCTGCTTTTTCTGAAGCAACTGGATATACTCTTTTGTCATATGCAAAGCTTTCTTGTCTTCTTTCTTTTTATTTAGCTTATGTTGGATTCTTTCATAAAAGTGCTCAAGTTTCTGTTGTGCCAGGTTGATAATGGTGAACCACTGTTCAGGATTTTTATGGCATAGTTGGAAATTATTATGGAAGACCTCTCATTCCAGTATTAATTACACTTAAGTTTTATTAGCTAGAGAGTTGTTTATCTTTTGTTATCTTTTGCTTACTTATAAAATGTAAGACTGCTTTTATTGTGTGTCACAGTAAGCTGTTTGTATGTGTCTTCTAAGACAGTTGAGGATTTTTTTACCTTTAAAATTTAGAAAACTTAGAAAATTGTAGGTATGGTTTTATAGTTGACTTAAATCTTTGGCTATTGTCTTGTGAAACCTATGTGTAAGTTACAAGTCAAAATTTAGTGTGACTGTACAATTTTGAATGTCCTTAAGCTATAATACTCAAAAATACAGGAAGTTTGGATGGAATTACTCTTCAGTGCAGTTAGATTGTAAGAGGTATATAATCTTATATGACTGTACTTGTCACTACTGTGACAGGTTTTGCTAAGGTATAGATTTCAGAAACAGAATTAATTTTTGAATGCTTCTTCATATAGTGTGTGTGTTTTCTGTTCTTGTTTTTGCATTAGTATCTGAAGTCCGTATATCTCCTGATGTTCTTCTGGAGCACTCTGTGCCTTCTTCCTGCCTGGTTCCTTCGGACTCATTCAGTTTATCAGGTGATAATGTGGCAACAGCCATTCAAACAGCCAGCAACAAACAGCCTGTTATAAACCCAGCTGTTCTTGAAGAACAGGTAAAACCACAATTTTTGTGTTTCATTGTGGGAGCTTGATGTATTAAATATCTTAGAATCCTATCTTTTCTGTGCATATTTAGATTAAATTGCCTTTTAAGACCAAAAGGTCCTTGGATTTCTATGATACAGAGTTTGAAGTAAAATAATTTTAAAATGATGTTTAAATCCTGTAACTGGGAGACACCATACTACTTTGGTATGGACTGCAAGAGAGATAAGTGTGTTAAAGAGTTCTTAAAGGTTAAAGCCATGCTGATAGCTCTGGGCGTGAAAGTAGGAAACAATAGCAGGAAGATTCTCTAAAAATTGTTACTGTTAAATCTGTAAAGATTATGGCTGTACATATATGTACATATGTCATACTTGTATGTTTTCTCAAGGTGTTTTAGAATTAGAGAATTGATGTTGAATATTTATTTAATTAAATTCATTTCAGTTTTGTGGTTTTTTTATTATATTTTACCTTCTTTTTTTATTTTTTCCCCTCCGTTACTTTTAAAGTTGATTTTTAATTTTTATTTTTTTTTAAATGATCTGGCCAGTCCTAGTTGTGTGAACTTGATCTCTCCTTGTGGCTGCAATACTACTGAGAACTGCTCTTACCTTCTTTTTAGCTTTTAACTAAACGATTAGATGAGCAAGGGAGGGAAAAGAATTTTTGTCTGGAGACTAGTACAGGAATGCTAGATTGCTGAGGATGAGAATTCAATGGATTTGCCCACCCAGGTGAATTTTTACTGTCATTTCAGTGACATGTATTTGAACAAGTTTATTATAAGGTTCATTGTTTCAGGATGCATAGTGGTATACACTTAAATTAGAAAGTGCTCTTGGCTTTTTCTGAACCAATAAATATTTTGGGCTAATTTGTGACCCTCCCGTTTTCAGGACTGACTTAGTTTTTTATTTTTCTGGTAGTCTCATCAAGCTCTAGGGCTACTCATGCTGAAAGCTGAATTTCATGATTAAGTCAGATTTCCATAATGTGACTATTTAAAAGCATTTCTCTAGAGCTATTTAAATGCTTGTTTTGATTAAACTCACCCTTTTTGCTTTCCTTTTGAGCAGTACCTGTTCACACTTTCAGGAAGACTGGCTAGTACAGCTCCAATAGTTCAGTCTTACTAATGAATTAGTTACTGTTTTGTATTTCTTCCCAGCCTAATGTTCTGCGGAAAATCTGTAAAAAGGGAAGGAGAGGTGTGCCCAGATGCAAATGATACCAAAGAAATTTTCTTAGAAATCCAGAAGTTGTGGGTTTTTTCTCTTGAGAGGGGGGAGTGTTTATTTTCTTTTTTCACTGATGCCAGCCAGGGTAATTTTCTGTGTTGAAAGCTCTTCATCTGCCTCTCTGACAATGTTTTGGTAAGTAAATTTCTGTTACTGGCAGGATGGTCAAAATTTGCTTTTCTTCAGCCACAAAAGATCTTACTCTTTTTGATTTTGCCGAACAGTGAAATGTGAATAACCTGTAACCTTTCTTTTTTGAACTAGGCCAGCAACTTTGGCTTGTGTTCTCTCTGAAAGGAGGACTTTGGATATTCCGAAATGCTAAGGCTTAGGTGCATTTTTTTAGAAACAAAAAAATCATTTGGTTAGGTATTCTTACCAAAGAAAAGAAATACACTTTGTTACTTCTGAATACTTCTGTGTGCAAATTCTAGCTGTAGGCCATGTTTCACTTTTTCTCATCTTGTTCTGGTCAGCTACTGAGAGACCTGTGGTTCCATAAACTGTCTTTTTAATGCAGCAAATAATACATAGTAAAGAATACAACATTACGAAGTGTTACTAAAGGGAGAAAATGAGTTGAGAGGAGGTCCGTTAACATTTTTAAATGGAGATCAGACTTTGTGTTTCCTTTCCACATAAAGGAAAATGGCAGGCATAAAACTATAATGAAATATTCTTACACCTGTTAGAGGAGGACATTAGGAGAACTGTATTATTCTACAATTGTATCTCCAGAGCCTCTCGCAATTTCATGTTGAAAAAACTTCAGCATTTCATTTTCCAACCTCAGCTTTTTGACAGTGACAGACTCTAATCTTGAGTAGTACTGAGAAGTAAAATTAGCTCATCTAGCTTCTCTTTGCTTCTTACAGAAGGTGAATTCAGAGAACAAACTGCAGTTTCCTTTCTGTTTTTTTTTTTTTCTTTTTAATCCATTTTTGTCATGGATCTTATATATCGATGTACTGTCAAGATCTCAGCTCTTTTGGTTTGTTTCTTTCTTTGAATTCTTTGCAAGATCTTTATTGAAAAGTCAATCTATTATTTGAGCATCTGGAATAAGAAGTGTTAAAGCAGTGGATTAAATCGGGTCAGTCAAACCTCTCTTAATAAACACATTGAGATGTTCCTTTCACCACTCCTCCCCAAATCTCAAGTGCTCTTGGCTTTCAAATTGCTGTTGAAAAAGTGGCAGCTGAAATTAATTTACCAGCTTTTTCCTTTGAAGTTCCTTTGCTGTGATATAACAAATCTTTGCCTTTTTGTTTTTTTTAAGAGGGGGGAAAAAAAAGCTTTGGCTTTTGTTAACTATACCACAAAATGTTTTAAACCTCACCTAATTTATTTTTGTGCTTTTCTGAAAACATGGGCTTATTATCAGTGTTTCATCTGTTTCGGGTTGTCTATTCTAGAAGCCTTCTTTTCAGTATTTTACTTCTACAATTCACTGAAATAGCATTAACTAAATGTTGTAGACATGTCCCAATTACTCTTGTTCTGTTGGTCTAGCATCAAGATGAGATATTTATTTTAGCATTTATTTTAGCCATTCCATGGCTACTGTTTGCAGCCTGCTTTGGGTGAAAACATGGAGTGACTAATCCAAGGGGCAAAAAATTTGTATTCCCATTCCATGGCTACTGTTTGCAGCCTGCTTTGGGTGAAAACATGGAGTGACTAATCCAAGGGGAGTTTATTTCCCTGTAAGCCTGATGCTTTGAGACAAATTATTTGGTTTCACTTCTGTTTCTTTTCACCTCTTCTGAGTATTTTTGACCTCATTGGAAAGTGAGGTTTCTGTGCCACCCTCTTTCTTAAAACATTCTCCTAAAGTATTCTTGAAAAGCAGTTGAGGAGACCGGAAGGATTGGTGTGAACCCCTCTAGAATTGCTAGCTACTCTTCTGTTGTTGGCGCTTTCTTTTTGGCCAGCACGTCTTACGTATGAGAGTGTGCATGGCCAATTCCAGAGCGGTGTGGTTTCAAAAAGTAACCTTAGTATTTACAGTTCTTAAGTTCTGTAATGTCGTCTGGAAATGAAATTTGACTTGACTGGAATGTTGAATTCCCTTTACCATTTTGTTTCTCTTATGAATTAGATTCAACCAGATATTCCAGTTGCCTCTTTGAATGTAATTGAAGAGAAGACTTCAGTTACATCAACCGTTGCTTTGGTTGATGCTGAGACACAGAGAACAAATGAAGCAAAGAGCTACCTTCAACAAGCTGTTGCAAACCTAGAAATCAAGCTTTGCACTGCTGAAGAAGAAAAATTAAAAATTAAAAAGGTATGAATAAGTTTTTAAATTAAAAAAAAAAAACAAACCCAAAAAACAACCAAACAAGTTTTCTTAGCATTGAGCCATATGGCTAGAAGGTATAGTTATTCCCCCATGTTTTGGGAGTGAGTGTGTGGTCACTGAATTTGAAAGTGGTTTTGACTATCTTTATGAACATAACACATAACACTCTTTTATCTTTTTTTTTTCCTGGGAGCTCTGCTAGCTAAATTCTTCATATTCCTTCTGACCTGAATACGATAGAGTACCAAGCAGGGCTATGCCTGTAATTATGTGTCTGAGTTAGTGAAAGGTCACAGAGGCATGGGAGAGAGAAAGTTTAATTTCTGCTATTCTTAATACTGATCCTTGATAGCTGTCAAGGTGTGCTAGGGAAGGAGGAAATGGCTTGTTGGAAATGAAAATGAGGACAAGTAACTAGAGCCAAAGATGAGGGGTCTGGAATGGATTGATTTTGCTAGGAATTAAGTATGTAAAGGAGGGCTGGAAGGGGGAAGCATGAATATTGACTGTAAGAGGAGATAGGCTGAGAGCTAGAAGTTTTGCACAATCAGTTTCTATCTCTGCCGTTGAATCAAAGACTTTGAATCTCAAGAACTGTTTTTATTATTTTGTCCAAAAGCAGGATTGAACTAAACAGAATTGTTCTTTCTGTCCTCCTTATGACCCTCTCGGTTGTGCCTTTGTTTGAATAGCTGTACAGTGATCTGGCAGGTCATTTGTTTCTCTACTGGCTTCCTGCGTGGCTGCAGAAATAGTTGTTCTTGAGCACCTGAAAGGGTGCCAACAGCTTATGTATAGTAGGAATGAGTTTGGTAAGAGCAACAGCTGCATTAAGAAAAAAATAAAAATCTTTAGCTCTTTGTATAGCAAATAATTTTGAAGTTTATTGTCAGTAATGTCATTCTCCCTGTGTATTGGTTCATGTTGGGCAGGCTTCTAGACTTGAATCTCTGCAACATGACAGAATATTTTAACATTTTATTCATTTTGGAGCTGTAGGGTAGAGATCATTAGGGCTGTATGTAATGGGATTTCTGCCTTTGTAGTGAAACCATTTGCTAAAAGTACATTTAACATGCTGCTTTTCAAATGCAGAAAGACAGAACAAGCTATTAAAAATATGGAAATAATTAGAATAGAATAGAATAGTTCCAGTTGGAAGGGACCCACCAGAAGTTAAAGCATGTTGTTAAGGGCATTGCTCACATGTCTCTTAAACACGGACAGGCTTGGGGCATTGATCACTTCTCTAGGAAGCCTGTTCCAGTCTTTGACCACCCTCTTGGTAAAGAAATGCTTCCTATTGTCCAGGCTAAACTTTCCCTGGTGCAGCTTTGAACCATTCCCACGTCTTGACACTGGTTCCCTTGGGAACAGAGATCAGCACCTCGTTCTCCACTTCCCCTCCTCAGGAAGCTGTAGAGAGCAATGAGGTCAACCCTCAGCCTCCTCCAAACTAGAGAAGCCCAGAGTCCTCAGCCACACCTCATAGGACAGGACATGCCTTTGATTTTAATTACATTATACTTCTTGAAAATATGATCTCAATTTTAAAACTGCAATCAGAATTTTCTTGCAGAACTGTTTATCTCTCTGTATATTATGATAGCAAATGCCACAGTCTTCAGAACTGAAGTTAGTTGGATTGAGTACTGAATCTGTATTTTCACAGTTCACAAATGTTTGTAACTTCATGTGTTTCATTTTGTAAACTTTATAGGAATTAGAATCTTTACTGGAAAAACATAGTATTCTTGAAATGGATTTCCTGAAGGAAAAAAAAGAGAAAGTAACTTCACATCAAGATCATTACAAGACACTCCAGGTAATTTCTTTCTTGTATTATCTTACCTTTTTTTCAGGACGATTTTGTATAAAATATATTTATGTCCAACAAATATTACTGTTAAGTACCTGGAAGCCTGCTCCAAAGCCTTTTGAATTTAAAGAATTTCTAAGCCTGACTTGGCTAAGTAGATTATTGTAATTCAGACCACTCATTCTTACTATGATCTGTTTCGTAGAACAGATGAAAAGAAAAATACTTTGCACAGCGGATGTGTTTAACAGTGTGACAGTATGCCCAATTCTTTGTAAAGTATTAGCTCACTTGAATATGGAATAGTTTGTGTTGCATAATAAAAATCTCAGAAGTGTAATTAGATGCTAGACAATGGAATTAATATTGCTTCCATTGCAAAAATCAACATTGTTCATTAAATACATGTATGAAGTCTCACATACAAGACAAATTTTTCATTGAAGTTTTTGGTATTCTTCCAGTGTTATAGCATGACAAACTAAATATTATCAACTTAAAACATTTCAAAAGTTTCTTGTTGGTAATTCAGCTTCACTTAATGTATTTGCTGCTGTGGATGTTTGTTTTTTTTTAAGTAGCTACTCCATTGTTTCTCGCTTGTACTTAAGAGTTTCTGTAATAATTTGATTGAATCCCTGGCTGCAGTCCTTCCTAGAGCTTATGGTAATGTAATCATCTATTTTTTTTTTTTTCTTTTCTTGTTTGTGTGTAACATCCTACTCAGTGAAAGAAAGAATTTTTCTTAGCTATGTCATAAAAATAAGTTTTGCTTAAAAACCTTTTGATTTATGGAGTATCGTACCAGCTAAAGTTAATGATCCACATAAACTCTTGACAACCAAATCAGTGGATTTTATTTTTTAATACTTCCACAGTGCTCTTCAAGCAGAAGTATTTAAATAGTATTTAAACACTGGGGTTTGCAAGTATCAGTCTGTATATATCATACCTCTTTGAGTCAGGTACTACAGTTTTCAAAAATGGTCATAACCTTTAACTTTGTAGAAAAACTCATGTACATGCTCTTGTTGTCTTCTGGATATAGCCAGAATCAAATCAGAGAAGAAAAGTGAGTCATGCTTCTAAGAGCTGACAGTTAAAATTACTTTTATGAAACTTGAATACTGGATGCCTTCTGTTAGTACAGCTTTTAATGCCAATTCCTTTTGTCTTCCTCCCATTGGCTCCTACAGCACTGGGGTCAACACCTGTGGCCACACACTGAGTAAGTCTGGCAGCCACACAGTACAGATGTCTGTCTCACTAACATTTCTTTTTCCAGCAGAAACAGCTGGTTATTAGTGCTATTGACTTGAAAAGCTTAAAAGCAGACTGTAGCGGTGACTCTGGCATAGCTGTGGGAAGTCTCAGGATAAGACTTCCAACTGAATTGGTTCTGGCATCCTAACCTGTAGGTGTGCGTTGACTTAATTCCTCTTAAATTAAATTTCTAGGTTCATATTTAAGTATAGTATGTAAAACAAATTCCTCATGAGGTGGTTCTAACTGCTTTTTACATGAATGTGCTTTATTTCATGCACCTTTAAATTTACTAATTAACTGACTTGCAGCACTTGTGACATCGGGAATTCCCAAGCTGGTTTGGGGGTAATAGTGCTGGTCAGTTAGTCAGACCTTTAACAAAGTGATATTCAGATTAGATTGGGGTTTTTTTGTTAAATTATTGTGCTTAGTTCGTAGAGAAGATTTCACTAATCTTTGTCAGCGATGCCAGCGATTATTTTATTTTTTTTTCCCACCTTTTACTATTGATTTCTGCCTCAGTCAAGGGTGACAGTAATGTTACCACAGTTTTGTTGTCACAAAATTGTTTCAATAAAATATGCTTTCAGTTCTTTTTATATTAAAAAAGAAATTAAAATTGAAAGCCAATATCGGAACATAAAGCATATTACAGATGTTTTCTGAGCCGAGTTGGGATGTTGATGAAGTGAATTGTGTTCTGGACTAGTCTCAAACTTTCTTCATCCTCGGTGTGAAGGTGTACCAAGTCTTTGTAAAGTGTTGTCATTTAACCAATAGATGACAATGGAACGTTGCCACATCTATGCTTATGTAAAAGAGAAAAGGTCTTGTGTTTCGTCTACATAAAATTAGCTTTAAAAGTCAAGATTGAACAGAGCATGTAGTATTTTCACATTCTTACTGTTGTTTCCATATGTAACTGCAACAACCAGGGACAGTAAAAGGGCAGCAATTGCTATTAGCTAGTATTATAGATTTGTTTGGATATTTAATGCAATGGTCTCTTTGAGATCTTGAATTCCTACAAGCTGGTAAAATTAGAGTTACAATTCCCACATTCTTGCTTTGGTGTTTGTAGTATTTAAAAGGCAGAATAACATATTGTAATCCTAACTTCTTTGCATACAAAATGTAGCTCAGTTGAAATTGCTGTGGGAAGTGTAATTTTAGTTTTCTTGTGTGCAGTGTTGCAACCATAAAGTTGCATAAATTCAACTTTAGCTTTAGAATTCCTTGCTTATTTGGACAGGAAGGAAAGAAGTGCAAATGTATGTCTCTTTTTGGTCGGTATGTCAGTCTTATTTTTTTCCCCCTTTTTTGATCACATAGTCATATATATTCATCTCAACTTTTAACACCTCAGCTCTTCTCTAAATGTGAGGTGCTGCGTATTTTCAAGACATTTAGTGCTGGTAGGTAATACATGTTTTTGATGATAATACTGAATTAATGGCCATTTCAATCCTATAAATCTAACATTTTGCTGCAGTCCCATTGCGATATGTTGTAGAAATGAATAAATGCTGTGTTTTAAGACTATGAAACCCCAATTTGTAATATAGTGAAAAACCATTAACAGCGAAATGAATACTCCCGTTTAGTAGGTGATGTTCTCTTCTTTGCAAATCAGAGAGGGAACATTTAATTTGAGAAGGGAAAAGAGTACCTGGGTTCTAGTGCTTTGAGAACTTAATTCTTTGGACAGATTACTTAGCTGATAAGACTTCCGATGCTTGGTCTATCTACAGACAACTGTTTTTGATGATTCACTAAGAACTGGATCATACTTTTCCCTTGCTATTTCTTTGATTTACCACACAGTTGGACTTGAAATAATACTGCCTTGCTGCTGGAAAATTCTAGTTGTGGTTATACACATTTTTTCCCATCATCAACCCTTTCTGGAAGTTAAGCAGGCTGTTTTTTTGAAGAACAATATAGTTGATGTGGTGCGATCCTTCTTTTTGAAATAGATTCTTTTTTTCTTTTTGCAACTGACATCTATTCTTCTAACTTAACAAATCTATGGTTGTTTTGAAAGCACCAAAAAGGTTTTCTTTTGGACTCCTTGTTTCTGTTCCGCCTCTTTTTAGGGATTGTCTTTTAAATTTTTATTGAAAAAGTGGCTTCAATGTGCTTATTTTATTTAGCAATATTCCTGTTCTTGCAAAACATCATGATTAAAAATGAACTAACTTAATATAATTAGGCAGGTCAGATAGACCCCCTGTTTAAATGATGCTCTAGAAAGGTAAGAGAGGAAGCTTTATACAGCAGAAAACATTGATAGATCAGTACATAATGTTCCAAAGAAAATTAGGCAAGGCATGCAGTAACACTGAAGTCCAGCCATTACTGGTATTAGATGTTTTTTCATTTATTTATTCCTGTAACTGTTGATGGTTGGGGAATTTTTCATTTGAGTGCCTGTGCAAATGTCACATTAAATTTTAAAACTTCAAAATACGAAGAAAAGACTTTACATGCAGTTAAGGAAAGACAAGAAAAAAGAGATTTGGGGCTAGTTTCTTCTCTCCTAATTCTAAGGGATTAATTTATTTGTATTCTGATTAGTATTGACTGTTAATTTTGGTTTTGGACCCATATATCAAATTCATATATAATAGAATGCACACTTTGTTGTGTCTATCTCCTTTGGTTTTGACATGATGCTCCAAAATTTTAAAATACTTTATAAGGTATGTAAGAATGAAAACTTTATTTTAATGCTAGATTCATCATACAATTTTGCCTTGAAGTAGAATTTTACAGTGATTTTGATGTAATTTAGTACTGAGCATAATATGAATCTCGAAAATTGCACCTAATACATGTATAAATTTGCTTGTATTCATAGGGTGTTGAAAAACGAACATTAAATAATGTGGTTTAATCTGTTGATGCCTGATTTTATGTGTATGGATCCTTTTGATTTTTTTTTTTCCTCTTAGTATTCAAAATGATGTGTCTTAACTGTTGCTCCACCACCACACTTTATGGAGTTTCTTGCTTTCAGAATTGAATTAAGCCTCATAATATTTCATAATGTATCTTAAAATCTTTGATTTTTAGATTCAAATAATGTCATAGTAATCTCAATATTAAGGAAATAAATGACTGAATAAGTAAATACTAGCTCTAGTGGCTACGTGTTAAGCTTCCTATAATGAAAAGAATTTCTCTTGGAGAGTTGGCATTACATTTTTGCAATTCCAAGAACAAGAAACAAGGTAACTGATTTTGTTTTGATGTTGGGATTTTTTTTATCAGTTTTCTGATGCTGACAGAAGATGTTCCAGAAGTAGGGATGTTGGTTGTTGAGGAGGGTAGAGCAGCTTTGGAGAGCTGTGGTTTTGAGGGCTGAAGGTTCAGTGGTGTTGCAGGAAAGGGAGGAGGACAGCAGTTAAAAGTGAATGGAAGGCACTAGTAGGGATTGAGGAGTGGGAAGTTAATCACAGCTATCACCTTTCTCTCTGCTTGCAGTATGATCTTGTCCAAGGGCTAGTACTTCTTCTAAAGGACTGATGTGGTGCTGATCTGAGGACAGAGCAGCTGGTGTGTGTAAGGCACAGATGACTGAGTTAGGAGTGACTCTTCTGGTTTGTGCCTTTCCGAAGGCACCTCTTCCCTCCCAGTTCCCTGCGTTGTTGGATTTCTGTCCCCTCCTCCTTTTTTATTCCCCCTTCTGTTTCTCCACGTGTTCCTGCCCTTGCTTACCTAATGGATAAATTCAGCCC